TTCCTTTTTCCATACTGGGGAGCCCCAACCTGCTTGTGAACCCTTCTTAATTGTTTCTGCTTTGCTGCTCATGCCAGTGGGCTCAATCCAATTGATTTAGATTGTGATTTGTTTACTAGATTTGTATCCTGACTTTCATACAGGAGCTGGGGGGGGGGGCATATGTAGCACTCCTGCCTCCATTTTTTTCCCTCCAACAACCCTGTGTAGTAGGTTGGGCTCAGAGGGAATGACTGGTCCAAAGTTACTCTGTGAGATTCTGTGCCCCAGGTTTATTAAGATGTATGGACTAGAAATTGCAAATTGTTTGTTTCTGAATTAGTGAGAAGAATTTTTATTCTGGCAAAAAAAGAATAAATAATAAGTAAAAAAATAAAATAAAATGACAGATTTTGAATTTGTTACATAAGTGTCTGATGGGTAAAAATCTTCTTTCAAGATTGCATGCAACAATGATTGTGAAGAAGATAAATATAAATTATATAATCTGCTTACCTTCGTATATGTTGTTGTACGGAAAATGGAAGGCAGGATTATTAAGTATACTGATGCACTGTAGGCTTTCACAGCTAGTATCTGTCTAGAAATCTGTCACTAAACCTTGAAGCTCAACACTGCCCAGCAGTATTAGGTATGTTTGCTGCCTTGAGTTTTATAAAAATAAAAGGTGGCGGGGGGGGGGAATCTAATAATAATGATAAAAATAATAATAATAATCAGTCACAACCAACTTTTTTTCTGCACAGAAATAGGGCTGCAAACCATATAATTCCCTTAACAATTGAACATGACATATTATGAGGGAAAAGGCGCCCTCAGGGTCGAACCAGCCCCTCCTCTGGGGCCCTTTGGCTCTGAGGTGACCCACACCTGGAGAGGAGCACTGGCTGGAAAAGTCCTCTTGCTGCCACCCCCACCGCCCACCCTCTTCGTTATAAGCCAGTTTCTCCCTTCCCCACCAGCCCTCGGGGAACCTGGAGAAGACTGATATCCTCACCCCACCCTGGGTCTGGCTAAATTACAGGAAGGGAAACCAAACCAAACTTCAGGGAATCAATAGCTGAGGCGGGTGCTAGAAGGCCACCAGTCAACCCCAGGATTTAACCAAAAATCAACGTTGTTAAAGATGCCAAAAGAAGATACGGTTCTAGCCCTAATACACATTTTTTTAAAAAAGATAAAATACAATCCTAACACAGTTCCAACCTCAGCTAAACAACTCAGCTTCCAGCCTTGCCTCAGGTCACCCCCTCATCCAGGACTCCAGCCAACGCCCCCAACCCAAAATCTCTTCCCACCCAGAGAACCCCTTCTTTTCCTTTATTGGCTGTCAAGGGTCAGGTGACTCCCTCTGGACACACAAGGCTGGTTTGTTC